ACATGCTTAAATACAGTTCAGTAGTGCTGTTGGAGATGTGATTTTCTGTTATTCTGGAACCAGATTTTCCAAAATGTAGCTGGTAAAATGTAGCCTCTCCTGTTTCTTGCCAAGAGTGGATTGATGTCGTCTGTTCTTGTCTCTAGAACTGTTGCCCGCTATGCTGCAGATCTCAGCAGCGAACAGATCTGTGTGTGTGTGTATGTATGCGTGCACGCATGTGTAGCTATATGTGAATATGAGAAACTTCAGTTGAAGAGCGGCAAGGTGAGATGTTTCTGTAATGCTTGGGGTCAGTTTGCGGTTATTTCTAATGTAGATAACGTGGTGGTTTTTTTTTTTTTTTAGTTTCTGTTTATTTTTAAATTAGCTTCTTGTTCTTCACATGACCGAGAGGTTGTCTAAGTAAACAAGCAGTGCTGTTCAAACCGATGTGCTTCAGAACTCTGAACACAGGTCACTCCATGTCCTTGGGTATAAAGCAACCTGGTCACTGCAGGCAACAGGGCTGACGTGTTCAAAGGACAGCGGGACGTGATTCACTCTGCATTTCACCTTATAAACTTCCCTTTTCCTTTTCCCTTTCCACCCTCCTCCTGCTTGCCATAAAAGAGCTCCCTGTGTAATAGGAGTTGGGAGAGGGGGAGGAATAGCAGGCCTATGATAGACCTAGCTTTGCTGAAACCTTGGATGATGTCCAGCATGACCATGCTGAGGGATGAGCTCAGGGAAACAGTTGGAAGTTCAAAGGCCTTTTTGTGTCGCTTACTGTCAGTTGACAAATGTGCTCTCTTGGGCGGTTGCTGGCCAGTTTAGATCTTCCTGCAGGGGGGTCTCTTCCTTGTTCTCCACCCAGTGTCTCCGCTCTGCCCGCAGAGGTGGGTTTGTTGCTGCTCTTCTGTGCGTTCATCTTCCTCAGCTGTGTCTTAGGACTTGCCTTTGCTCATCTCCTTAAGGAAAGCATTGTTTCTTTACACAGATGTGGAGATCAGGCTGGAGGAGAGTGGGGAAGTGGAGAATGAGGCTTAGCTGTGTTGACCATTGCATTACCTAATCCTGCTATGAGCAGTGGTGAGAATATGTTAGTGCAGTCTATGATTACTTTCTCATCAGTGGAAGCACTGCCTATGAAGGACTTGCAGCTTTCTTAGGAAAAAATAAATATCTTTAATTTTACAAGTGGGAAAATGGAGCTATAGAGACAGGATTGTCCCGTGGTGGTGCAAGAGTCAATAGCCAAAGTTGGGAAGAGAGCAGTGGGGTTCTGTTTTCCAGTCTTCTGGCTGTTAATGCGGTCTGTCCAGAAGGGTCTTACTTCCTCTCTGGCAATGAAAGAGCCTGACAGGAGTTCCTACTGCTTTCTTTGTGTTGTCGTAGACTCTCCTCCTGACCATAGGAGGAAGACCATGGAATTATGGCTTTTAAAACTAGTAAAAGCAGTAAAATGCACTTGTCAAATTGTATAGCTATTGCATGACATCATGACAAAACAGTGGAGGTTGTTTGAATCGTATACTGTGTGTTTTCCTAAGTGTGACCTTTTAACTTTTGAATTTCCTCTTAACTTTGAATTCCAAACAGATTGTTTGGACATATTTATAACAGCACTAAACATTAACTCTGGGCTAGTGTTATGCCTTCAGCTTTAACTCCCTATGAATATAACTCATCAAAACATGAAGTAATAAATGACCAATAGAAGAGCTGAGTAGTATTAATAATCCTTGAACAAAGGGCTGTACAGTGGAACTGAGTCCCAACATGTTTAAAACTAGTAGAAGGAAATGCAGGAATGTTTCAGTGTAGACAGTTTGCTCTTCAATGGCAAGAAGGGATTGTGGATTTGGAGTGGGAGGAGCTGGGAAGAAGAGGTTAGGGAGCAACTTGCTCTGTGTGAAAGCTGCTCTTGGAATCTCTTAGGTTTTCCTTCGAAGCCTCTGTTTCTGACCGTTACTAGATTCAGGTTACCAGTTTACGTGGATCCCTGGCCTGATCTCATTGGCAGTCCCTATACACTCCATGAAATTTCAGGCTTCATTCGTAGATTTTTGTCTTACGTGGGTTCATGTGTGGGTTTTTTTTCCTTCTTTCTTTTTTTTTCCTTTTCCTCTAAAGAGCAGCTGCTGTTGAAGAGAATTTATCTTCCTCCTGATGTTGTCTGGGCTGGCACACACTTGCTGTCTGCTGGGGTGGGAGTTAGGTCCTCCTTTATATGTAGCAATTTATGTCTTGCTCTCCTCACCCTGTTCCCCCTCCCCTGCTCTTAAAGCTCAATTTTTCATATTTAGGGGAGTATGAAATTGGCTGAACTGCTCCCTGTAGGGGTGGAATTTCATTTTGTGTAGTTACCTCATGAAGGGATGCAGCAGTTCAATGGGATAATGGTATCAGCTCTGAACCAGTGCTAATGTCCTAGCCCTCTGGGAGCCTGAAGAATTCTCCCCTGGAGAGTCAGCATGCAAATTCCCTTCCAGGCGGCTCCTGTGCAGTCCTTTGGTGATTAGTCACGCTTGGGACTGGGGAGAACAGAGAGAAAAGCATATGCTGGGGGGATGGTCTTAGTCCTGAAACTGCAGCTGAGGCCAGGAAAGGTTTGCTCGGTGTACAACGCATGGAAGTTGCACTTGGGAGAGAGATGGCTGATCTGAGAGACTGACACTCTGAATCCAAAAATCTGTCTTGATTTTGTTTGGAAGCAGACTTTGGGAACTGGAGTATTTTCCCCTTTGTCTGCCCTGGGGAAGAAGGGGAAGCTCCTTCTCCATTTCGATGCAGCTGCACTGGGATGCTGAGAGAAAACACAGTGTGGGCAAATGGGTCATCTATCGGAAGACCTGGACGCTGCCAAATCTGTGGTATACAAATATGGGTTTGTGTGCCTCTCTCTTCTTCATAGCTCTGTGAAGACTAGAGGACTAGATCTGATCTGGACTTGTGTCTGCACAAGGGATGGGAGGATGCTAGAGGTGATAGGAAGGGCCTTTTCCCAAGAACCAGTGCCAGATTGGGTATGTTGTCATCTAATGCAGTGTTCAGCATCGTCTGCAGTGGCATTCTGTCCCTACACCGTAAAGGGGATATTTCTCTTTCTGAGACCTCTGCTTTGCAGGATGCTTTCATTTAGACTTGTCTTATATCCTCTCCGGTTTCCAGCTGGTTGGAGCTTGTTGTATCCCTTTTGTAACATCCCACCTCAGGGTGAGGGAGATGTCTGTGGCGGAAAGCCTAGTCGGTGGCTGTGGTGAAATGAGAGCTTGGATTTTGCTCTCCCCCCACTGTGAATTCAGTCTCTGCCTTGTCCTGTGTTAAGTGCAGAAGGAAGTGTCTTGCTCTCCTCAGGTTTCTCTTCACTGGAAAGAGCCATTTGGAAAAGGGTAGTACTGCAGTAAAATTTCAATAACAAATCAGGTATTTGCGTGAGATTTGAAAATACTGTATATTCCTAAGCTGAGAGGTTGGGCAAGTGATGGAAAATGGGATGCCAGGGGCTGTGGCCAGTTGGTCAAAGCAACGCAGTTGGCACTTGCACTGTGCAGTCTTGGGTGTATAGAAACAACTTACACTGCAAAGGGAGAGAGACGGTATTGTATTCAGAGATTTCCTTTTCAGAATTACAGGTATAGAGATGCCTATGCCCTCACTGTTGCAGGAGCGGCTAAGAAGATAATCCAAATTTGCTATTAGGAAAAGAGTGTGTCTGTTAGAGCAGATCTGGACTTAACTGCGCTAGTGTGTTCTCAGGGTAGGAAGCTTTTAGGACAGACACTTTGTACGAGACGTTGGAGGACTGGCTGTGTGTGATTCTGCATAGCCTCATCCGTGTTGCTTTCACAGGACATTGGCAGCAGTCCTGGGCTCAGGGGAAGTGGAGGGTTGAGGAAGCTACAACAACTGAAAATGTGACTATTTGCTCTCCTTATTAAATCCTCCCTGTCTGTGTGGCTGCTGTCTTCACCTTCTTCTTTCGCACCCTCCCCCCTTCCCCCTCCACGCACTCCCACCTCTGGGATAGTGTTGGCAGAGAAAGGAGTAGAAGCATAGCAGAACAGGGCTGGCCTGCCTGGTGACAGATGGGAGATGCTGTCGGCAAGCTGGGCTGGGATGAAAGGGTTTCAGGCACTAGCCTCTTCAGCCTGCTCCCCTTTGCGTCCCTGAGCTAACGTTGTTCTTTGGAGAACGCACCTGTCAGGAGCAGAGTCATGTGCAGCCCCTTCCCTACCCCAGCTGGCAGTACTTGAAAGCATGAACCTCCCGGGGTTGAGTGTTCCTCTCATCTGCAAGGGGAAGGACAGGGCTGATGCTCCCCCTTGAATTCCAGCTTTGTGGCTTCAGGCCTCTTTGAACACAGTGGAGCTGTGGTTCCACTCGATTGCCAGCAGACTCCTGTGCTGGCAAATATCCCATGTCTGAACCCTCCCCCTGCCCCTTCTGGAGACCTCTAGCAGGGTTTGGGCTTCTGTGCCCATACCTGGGGCACAACAAACCACCCTCAGCAGTGGTTCCTGCCTCTAAGATTCTCCTTACGAGTTCTTCAGTCAACAATGCTGACAGAGTCCCCATGCCGAAACATACACTGTGGCATGTGCCTTGCAAAATGCTGCCCCCAGAAACATTGCTTCTAAAGAACACGCTGCGTAATAGAAACAGGGCAGACCACTGTGGGAAGCACACAGGAAGATGTTGATAATGTGTTTCTGCTTGTTATAAAAATGAGTGCAGTTTTGGGATGATAACAGGCTGGGGAATTAAAAAAGGAACTCGGTGGGGAATTGTGGCTGCTACTTTGTGGTGGAAAGGTCAGTGCCCCTCTGGGGAGGAAAGACTGCCAAGCTCCCGACCTGTCCTGCCCCCCCCATCTGAGGCATGGCTTTTCCCGATGACTTGAAATTTCATGTCTTTGTTTCTAAGAGGTCTAGTTCTCCATCGGGAAGGAAGGAACTTTCCTTACAGGAAGGAAGCTGGCTGCAGCTCCATAGTGAGGTATTTCTGTGCTGTTGCAGTGCTGCCCACTTGCTCCCCCTTGGACTTCCACTGCGACAATGGGAAGTGTATCCGTCGTTCGTGGGTCTGCGATGGAGACAACGACTGTGAGGATGATTCTGATGAACAGGACTGCCGTAAGTCATCTCTCTCAGGAGAGGGTGGGTGTGGTGCCTGCCTGCCATGGCTGGGGAAAGTTAACCCTTTCTCACAGGGCTGTAGGAATTTGTCCACTGATTCAGTCCTTTGGCTTGTGTAAGCTATATCCTGCCTCTGTCAGAGGTGACTACCTGATGTCTCAAAGCAAGTAGATCCTCCCGCCTTGGCACCTGGCTTGCTGTTCAGCTTCGTGTCCTGGGGCAAGGGATGCCTCTCTGTCCAGCTGGAGAACAGTTTATACCCTGCAGCCTGCTAGTTAATGTCCCATGAAGCACTTCCCCGAGCTATTCATATGCTCTCCTGTTCGTGGAAATGCCTGGCCCCTGCCAAATCTGACCCAACTGCCTGTCTGGCTGACTTCCTGTGGCCTCAGGTTCCACTGTCTGACTTTTCTGCTGTGCAGAGCTGTGCCCAGCATCCTCTCCCTTCAGACAGAACTCCCTGAGGAGAGGTGCTGTAGGGATGCTGCCTGCATAGAGATGGGTTACTCTGAAAGCTGATGGTCTGCCACCATGAGAGGCCCAACTTCAAAAGAGCTGCTCTGGCAGGCCACTTGCTGTGGGCACACCTATGGCTGCTGTTATGCTTGTAAAGCTGGTTAAAATGGAAAGAATTTTTCCTGTGCTATTGGAGCTCAGCCCCCTCCTTTCTTCTTTGTACAGAGGACACGGGTTACCTGTGGTTGGCTTTCATTAGCAAAGGGTGTTCAGGGATACAGCTTCCCTTCCCCACAACAAATCAGCCTGTCTGTCCTTGGCAGCACGTGTCAGAGAACCAGCCTGCTATGTAGCACATGAGCTTCAGCTTCTCTGAGACTGCACTGGTTGCTAGGGCTGGCATCAGGCTGCAGTGAGGAGCAGAACTGTTTTACTTTCGGATGGAAACGGTTGCAGCTACTTAATAGGCATGGCTTTGCAGCCCTTGAATTCTGCAGAAGTTGTGTGTATGGGGCTCCAGAGTGGCTCCAATAGAGGAGCCAAGAAATGTCAAGAAATAAAAAAAATAAAGCTCTTGTCTGTTAAAGTATTCTATGTCATTTTAGGCATTTGCACAATGCTTGTATGGGAATGAATTCACTTACTGATGGGTATGTCCCTGATCTTTGCTCATTCTTTTGGGTGAAGGGCTGGAGAAATGGAGGTTTGACATCCTGTGTGATGCTCTGCATGACAGGACTAAGCCCAGTTCTTCCAATCTCTCTTCAGTGATTTTCCTGAAACAAAAGGTGTATATATATATCTGGGTCTGTTTAGTCTTCTGTTTCTCAGAACAGGTTGGAATGCCCTCGTATGTAAGGCAACAATGGAAACAGGTATGATCAAAAGATTCTGAGACTAATGAAAGGGAGAAGGCAAGACTCAGTAAATAAGAGACTCCTAGAGAGTTTTCCAGACTAGGCACTTACCATAGGAGGGCTTCCCTTGAGTTAAAGTCCTCTGGTGCTAATTTTGCAGTCCCTTTTCCTTCCCTGTCGGCCTGCAGATAAGCCTCTGTGAAAGTTTGGCAAAGAGGGTGGAATGAGGCTGCAAATACTGAAGAACCGGGATGAGGAAGTTTAAATGTTCTCTCCCCCTTTTCAGTTAGTGTTTCCTTTCCTTTGAACGTAGCTTTGGCATTGTTCTGAAAAGAAGGTGGAGCTATAATTTGACCAGCAAGTATTTGTTTGATAATGATAGGACCTATTCATTTCTCTAAAAAGTGGCCTGGATTGCCTTTCTCTCTCTGTGTGTGTGTGTGTGTGTATTCGCGCTCTTGCAGGGATCTCTTAAGCCTGGCTTGGGGCTCTGCAAGAATCCCAACACAGGGTGGGTGACTCTGTCACTCTTTTCTAGGTACATCTTCCCACCCTTGCTCTCGAGTTTTAGAGCCTACTGTACTGGTGACTAACAGTTGGAGCAGAAGAGAGACGCTCAAGGAGTCTCGCGCTGCCCTCTTGATATTATTAGGGGAAGGGAAATGAATGCTCCAGCGTAGTGGTGTCCTCGGAGGAGGAGGTTGCTCTGTTTGTGACATGCCACAGACTGGACGTTCTGTAAGGTAAATCTTGCCTTGCCTTCAGCTTACTCTCCATTGTGTCTCTGCAGCGCCACGGGAATGCGAGGAAGATGAATTCTCATGTCAGAATGGATACTGCATCCGCAGCCTGTGGCACTGCGATGGTGATAATGACTGTGGTGACAACAGCGATGAGCAGTGTGGTGAGTAATGTGGCCCTGCCAATGCAATGAATGACAATGTCAGCTGCCTGCCCTGCCAGTGCTTACGAAGGGGTTGTGCAGACTCCTACCTGAGCAGTTTTGTGATTCCTCTTTAGCACAGCGAGGGCTCGCAGCTGTCTTTGGGCTGGCCTTATGGGATATTCCCTTCCCATAGCTGGCTGCTTGTGATCTGAAGCTGTGTGGCTCACCTACCAGTCAAAAATCACTCAAGGCTTATTACTCCTTGACATGGCATTGCGAATTCCCATGGATTCGTTTTGAATCCATCGCTCTGCACCAGCTGAATGAGCACTGATGGTTTGCCCAGGTACTGCATGACATGGGCACGTTAGGTTTAATGAGCAGTCTTGTGGTTTGAGGGTGCCGTAGGAGCTTCAGAAGCGTGGTGTGGTTGTTCCCTGGGTACAGGGAGAAAAGCCAAGGCTTGATTTGTGTTATGTCTCAGCAGATATGAGAAAGTGCTCAGAGAAGGAGTTTCGCTGCAGTGATGGTAGCTGCATAGCTGAGCACTGGTTCTGTGATGGTGACACAGACTGCAAGGACGGCTCAGATGAAGAGAACTGCCGTAAGTGCTCTCCTTGCTTTGTAACCACAGGAAGTAGCCCTTTGGACGTGCTACTGTCCTGGGGTTTGGCCTGTTTTCTGCAGAAGTGATCAGAAATGGGTTAGTCCTGCCCGTGCTGGCAGCTGTGCTATCTTCTGTTGTCTACCCCAGAGGGCACAAGAGGATGGTATGTCTCTTGTACTACCTTGCAGAAATACTCGGACTCTTCCTAGCTGCTTCTCTCTTTCTTCCTAAGGCAGGGTGAGCTTGAGCCAGGGCAAGGAGCTTATGCTTTAGTGCATACAACTCTGTATTACACCATGGGAGCTGGAGGGCATGGGGGAAGGGGAAAAATGATTACCTTTTTTATCCTCTTGTCTGATTCCTGCTAGCAATTCTTGGGGAGCTCTGCCCGCTTACACCGTCCTCAGGGACTGCACATCCTCAGTTCACGCCATAACAGTTGCCTGATGTGCCAACCTCTTCTCACTCAGATGCTTTACTCAGGACTTTGTCCAGTAAGGGCCAGTAGGATGAGTTAGCTGGAAGCTGGTTGGGCTGATGGGGCCAGAGGGGCTGTGAGAGCTCACAACAGTTGTTTTGTGCCCCACCTTCATGAGCCTGTAGCAATTGGGACAGGAGCCTATTATGTCCCTTACTAACCCCCACTGCCTCTCTCCCATGTCTCTGAGCAGCAGTTAGTGTCTGTGGAAGTTGCAGTGGTCCCTTCCCCCGCTCTGCTCTCAAAGGCATTTTGCAAAATTTGTTCTAGATAGCAGGAAACTTCAAAAGGCTCTGGGAGGGGGATCGGGGCCGCCAGCTCCTGAAGGGCAGGGGGAGTGGATGCGTGGGGGAGTTGTCTTTTATCTCTCCAGATAATGAGAGTTGGCAGGGAGCCAGGGGCTGCAAACATTTCTAAGCCAGGAAAGGGCTCTGAGAGGGAGCCAGCCTCGCTCCCTCTCCTTTCTCCCACTCTCTCTGTTCTCACTCTCTTGCCTGCCACTTCCCTGCAGGCCATGAATAGGCCCTGGGGATGGGAGAGGAGGTGTTTCAGCCTTGCCTCCTATGGGGACATGGGGGCAGCTAGAGTTGGTTCCCCCCTCAAAGCTGGAATGCTCCTCAGATCCTGGCTAGCTATTTTCTCTACTCTGTAAGACATTTTAAGTATAGGTACTTTGCTAAGAAACTCAGTTTGGCTACCTCCCTCTCTCCTCTTACCATCTTCTGTGTGGCTGCCATCTTTATCTCCAGTCCTGCCTCTTTGTTCATCTAGAACAGAGTGGGACTACATTGTTCGTTTTTTTCGTTAGTGGTGTTGTGTTTTGTTGTTACAGTTGAATAACACTACAATGCCTGGTAATGTGTGCCTCACCAAAGGAGTCTGAAAGGTTTGTTTGGGCCTCCTCGAGAAGGAAATAGAGTCAGTGACTTAAATTCTTGTTCGGGATCTGGCCGTTGGATATTGGCTGAACGGGAGGTCTTACTACTTGCCTGCTGCCTCTGCCCACTACTTCATGTTGGAGTGCAGGCATGGTTCATGTCCCAGGCTCTGTCAGTATTTATTTTCCCTTTTATTTCAAGGAGTTATTATTTGAGCTCCTCAGCTGAAGACTGAGTGCGCATGCCTGAAACATGCGGTTCATTCTCTGGACAATATGAGAAGAGGTGTCAGATTGTGTCATGTGGGACTTGGATATTTTTCATCACTTTTCAGTGGTACGCTATGTGGAGAGAGAACAGTGGGGAAATCCTTGACTATAAGTTTGCTGGCCTCCGCCCAGGGTCGTCTGGCAGTACTCCTTACTGATAAGGCACGGTTTGTTTTGGCGACATCTTGAGAGGAAAGGGAGGGACAAAACCTCAAAGGTCGGATACACATCTGGGCACCTTGATGCTCACTTCCTTTGCTCTTCAAGTGTGTGGGGTGGTTTTTTTTTTTTTTTTTTTAACAATTTTAAAGAAATTGTTCCTTTATGTTTCCATATTTTGACCTTGCATTCTGACATACCTCGATCCTTAATATAGAGCTACACCAAGGAATAGCTTTATTTTTCCTTCTCTTTTTTTATCTGCCTTTTGAGGTTTAATAAACAACTTAAACTCTTTCCGGAGGGCACTAAGCCGTAGTATCTTCAATATAAGACAGAAGAAGGTGACGCTCCTGGAACTTCTTTCTTGCTTTACCATCATCCCCTTCTTTCTCCATAGCTTGCTTTCCTTCCCCTTGCTTCCTCCTCTACAACTTAATGGCTCTTGGAAGGCTCATGTTTGTAGAGTAGCATCCTATGTAAGTTTTTTAGTGGGTTGACCGTGCAGCTGCCTTTATATACAGCTTTAAACCACCCTCCAGCGAAGCACAAACAACATTCAAGTTCCTCTTAGAAATACAGATCATACAGAGGTATGCAGCAGGGGCTAGTGATTTTGACCACTTTTGCACTGAATGCTTACTAGTCCATTATTAGATTGAAGACGGTGACATCTAAACTGGATTGTGCTCTATCACCTCAGACATGTTCCTGTTATTCCCTTGTTAGCATCAGATGTTCCAGCTGCCACCTGCAGCTTGGAGGAGTTCCAGTGTGCGTATGGACGCTGCATCTTGGACATCTACCACTGTGATGGCGATGATGACTGTGGGGACTGGTCTGATGAATCTGATTGCTGTAAGTTAGTACAGGTTTGCAAGCATCTGGCATTGGTTGGGGAGGGGTTGCTGTGTAGACCGCTGTCTATAAAAATGAAAAAGTCAGTTTATGTGTCAACACTGTTTTCTAATGCAGGAATGTGGGAGTGTTGGTGGGAGTTACTTCCTAGTCAGGGAACTTCTATATACAGGAATTGAAACTGTTTCCAGGAGGGTCTATTCAGGACCAAGTTCCATGAGAGGAGAGCACAAGGATGGCACTGAGGGATTTTTGGGATGTTCCATTAGTCTGAATTTGCTCTTTATATTCTTTACCTGCTCTGCAGCATCTCACCAGCCGTGTCGCTCTGGGGAATTCATGTGCAACAGTGGCTTGTGCATTAATGCTGGCTGGAGGTGTGATGGAGACTTTGACTGTGATGACCAGTCAGATGAGAGGAACTGCAGTGAGTGCTGGGGATTGGTGGGAGTGTTTGATTTCTGTGGATGCAAGACTGGGTGCGGGAGCATTAGCTTTGGAACAGGTCTCTTCTGATCCTCCTTGCTCATCTGATTTTCTCTTCTTGGTCTCCCAGCTGCGTCTATGTGCACAGCTGACCAGTTCCGCTGTAAATCAGGGCGCTGTGTCCGTCTCTCCTGGCGTTGTGATGGGGAAGATGACTGCTCTGACAACAGCGATGAGGAGAACTGTGAGAACACAGGTTTGGCTTGCTGCATTGCTGCTTGTCGCTAATGTTTTCATCTGGGAGGTAATAGGTAGTGAAGTCTCCTGGTTGATTCGACTGAGTTCAGCCTAGACTTTGCATGTTTCCCAAAGCACAGGATCTGTAGGCTGTTGTCTACACTTGCAGATAGGTCCAGGTCTGTGTGCTTACACTAACTTAAATAGTGGCATTTTCTGGTCAAATATTAGATCCCTGTATCGTCCTGTCCTCACGCTATGAATTACCACATAGGTCTGAGACGATTCCATTCAGACTTCGAAACGCTAATAGCGTGTGTAATTGTTACCCCTATTTAATGGAGCGAGTCTAACCTGTACCTTCGCAAGAGTTTAGGATAGCCTTAGTGCTGCCATATGAAGTTGCCAAGTGATTCTGTAAAGAGAATAGAATCAAAAAGGCTGTTTAATGAAAGGGAAGTATGGAGCCTTTGTTTTAGAGCTAAAGGGTGCCAGCCACCTTCAGGCATTTGCTCAGGAGTCTCTCTTCCTCTTTCTAGCAACTGTCTCACATATAGCTATTCTCTTGTATAAATGGTCAATATGGAGAAGAGAAGGGTTTCAACAGATCCTGGTGTTGTGATAGTCCTCAGGGAATGTCTGGAGTCTTCCATTTTCCTTAGCTCCTTCAGGATGTCTGAAGGCCTTGCTGAGAAATAGTGTGTACTGGTCAGTGAGCTCCTCTCAGTGAGTAGAGCCCAGGTGTTCATACTGACGCTTCTAGATCAGTGTTATTTTAAACAGCGAGTTTAGGAGGGCAAAAGGGATTTGTAAAACTGTGCCCGTTGTTTGGGCTTGTTGGAGATGTGTGGAGAGTGACTGTTGCACAAAGATAGATGAGCTCAGAGGGCCTGGAGAGGCACATTTTGTAGTAGTTTGAGAGCTGCTGCTCTAGATCCGTCAGCTGTCATGAGCGCTAGTGTGCAGGAGATGGTACTGATCCTGGAAACAGCAATTGCACTTGCACTAACAGGCAAGGTGATAGATAACCCTGTTAGATACCTTAGTTATCTATCTACCTACAACAAACATTGAAGGAGTAGTTGCAGCCCAGAAGCCCAATCAAACTTCCAGGGCCACTGAAATTCAAAAAAATTCAGGTAGAAGGTAACTGAGGGTTTCCAGTCCTAGCAGAATGTGTACTGGCTCATCTGGTGAGAAATAGTGCACTGTATCAGTGTCTGTAGCAAAACCTGTGTCACCTCCGATCTTTCTATCACATATGGTGAGAAGATTCCTAGGACAGTAGGAGATCAGCTCATGTAAGGATTATAATGCTCATTATGACAAATGTGATTCAAGTTTCAGAATCCTTCATATATAAAGCACTTATGTGCTCTGAGAAGTGAATTTGCATGTGATTTGTTTTTGTTTCCAGTTGGTGTGTCTGTTGGTTCTTACTAGTACTTGCTCTTAGTCTCACAACTGCCCTTTACCGTACAGCTCTGCCCGTCCAGTTGTTTTTTTGGTGGTAAACGTATTGTTGTGCATTCTTCCTAGAATTATTAGAGGATGATGATTTAGAAATCACTAACTGAGTTAGCTTAGGAAGTACAAGAAATAAGAGGCAACGGGACAGTGCAGTTATCACTGAAGAAACAATTAGATTGGCAGAGTTCCTACAAACAGCATTACTTTACTTACAGGAATACTCTGTAGAGTCTCCCTGCCAACAGCAGAAGTTGAAGTGTGCAGCTCATGTGTGAAATCCTGTTCCCCGAGCTCAGATTTCAAGGATGCTTGTAAACCCCATTCCAAGTCCGTCACAGTGCAGTTAGGATTGGACAAGACGCTCATTCCTAGGCAGGTTTAAGATCCATAGCAATGCTGGGGTGACATCTCAGATGATTAAAGTCAGAAACTGGCTCCTCTCTGACATGCTGAGGAGGGTTGTGGAATCTGGAACCAAAGGGAATTAAGCCAGGACCTTCCAGTCATTCTGAGAGAAACTAAATAGCTGAACTTCCTGATAAAGCAACGTTAGGCTCAGTCTGGAGGAGAGTTTGCAGGCCTCTGAATCAGCACAAAGGTAAGAGGATCGGTAAGGGGTGCAAGATGGGCTGAATCCAAGGAAAGAGAACCATCAGTTTGCACTTGTATGTAACGATTGTAACAAATCTTGGGAAATGTTCTGTATCCTTTTCTTTAGCCTGACAGTTGTTCCATCAGGTGCCCTGTGTGCTTACTTTTTCCTTCCTCTACTGCAGGAACCCCACAGTGTGCCCCAGACCAGTTCCTGTGTGAGAACGGACGCTGTATCGGCCAGAGAAAGCTGTGCAATGGTGCAAATGATTGTGGAGATGGCAGTGATGAGAGCCCACACCAAAACTGCCGTAAGTCTTCCAAGTCCAGTCTTAAACATAATCAGAGGCAGAATCAGTCTGGTGTCGCTGAAGGCCACGTGTAAGGAAGGAAACCCAGATGGAATTAATGGGAGAGTATGGATTGAAAACTGAGGAAAATGACTTCTGTGGTGGTTTTGCCAATTATAGACTGCAGAGAGGGAACGATGGGGAAAAATTGCACTCTTGGGTGTAGAAGTTTGTTTGTAGAGACAGTGAATTCCAAAGTGTGCTGTGCCAAGCTCTGTTGTTCAGGTCTCGGTCGGGGCAGATCCCCTTTCGTTGTGGGCTTCCAGTGAGTGTTGTGACTGAGACAAAGCAGAGTCGATCACCACCTCTGCTGCCCGCTCTCTCGCTCAGCGTGTTCTGAGAGACGACTGCTGCCCTAACAGTTGAGGACACAAGCAGCTGCCTTGTGGTTTCAGCTTGGTTATCTTCACACGTTGCTGTCACAGGTCCGCGAACAGGGGAGGAAAACTGCAATATCAACAATGGTGGCTGTGCTCAGAAGTGCCAGATGGTACGAGGGATGGTACAGTGCACCTGCCACACAGGTTACAGGCTTCTGGAAGATGGCCGATCGTGCCAAGGTGGGTTTTTGGAGCAGTAGCCTCCTCCCTGCTGCTTTGATTTGTTTGGAAATAATGCCTATGATGGGGTGTAAATTGGATCATGAAAGCAGAAGAAAGCTATCAGTGGCATGTTTCCTGGCATGTTGATTATATGTAATAGTAACTTTGTCCCGTTGTCCACAACATGCAGATGTGAATGAATGTGCAGAGGAGGGTTACTGCAGCCAAGGCTGTACCAACAGTGAAGGAGGCTTCCAGTGCTGGTGTGAGCAAGGCTATGAGCTGCGACCTGACAAGCGCAGCTGCAAAGCTCTAGGTAAAGAGGAATTCAGCCTTTCTGTGTGTCTGTGTCCGTGTGTGTGTTGGTCCAGTTCCCGTAATTTGGTTTCTAATGCTTCATTGGCAGCGTTATTCTGTTTACCAAGCCAATCTGTGAGGCAGAGGAAGTACCCAGGTTTGTATTAGATCTGCACAGGTTGTCCGCAAACGCCTTTCGAAATTTTTTGGTTTGGTTTGGTTTGGGTTTTTTTTGACCATGGGGAGGCACTTTGCTGTTTCCTTTTCTCCCTAGCAGGAGAACCCCAGCTTTTTTTTTCTTCTCTGTACCCTTACTAACTACCTTGTCATTCCTGGTGACTCAGGCGCTGGGATAGAAGCAGCATCCTACCTCTGATGCCTTCTTGTCAGTCAGGTAGTATCACACCTCCTTGCTCTGGTCTGACCTTTGATGCTGATCACTGGTCCTGAATGCTGTGAGTGGCTGCTGTATGGACAGCTGGTGTTTTTAAGGGCATCCATGCATTTAACTTGACTCCTCAGCTTCCCTAATATAACCCATAAAGGATTTGGAATCTTTTTCTCCAGCAGAAACGTCCGCTGAGCAGACTTTAAACTGTGTCTTGTCTTGCCTTGAGAGTAAAGTGTGTAGAAGGTGTGGTAGAGCCATGTGGGTTTGTGTGGATGGGAATTGGATATGGGAGAAGCAAACTGCAGTCTAACTGCCAGATGCCTGCTTAGTGGCATGGCTTCAGAGGCTGAGGTGAGATGGGCTCAGGTGGGACCTGGAATGATCAGTTCTTGCTGAGTGAATGCTTACCAAGTGCTTTGAAACCGCTCATCTCGGAGATGGGACTCTGTATTTGGGATATGAAAACTTCTCTCTGACATGTTTGGCACCTAGGAGTTGACTTCCTGCTGCCAGTACTGCGGAACTGTATCCTGGGACTTGAAGGAGAGAGAATGGCAGGCAGGACCCTGTGAAAGTATTCTGACGTTGTCTTGGTGTTTGTCGTCAGGGCCGGAGCCAGTGCTGCTTTTTGCCAATCGGATTGATATCCGACAAGTGTTGCCTCATCGCTCGGAGTATACACTGCTCCTGAACAACCTGGAAAATGCCATTGCCCTTGACTTCCACCACAGCAAGGAGCTGGTTTTCTGGTCTGATGTCACTCTGGACCGCATAATGAGGGCCAACCTGAATGGTAGCAACGTGGAAGAGGTGGTTTCCACAGGCCTGGAGAGCCCAGGTGCGTCACTGCAAAAAAGGCACAAAGGCCTGGAAACGGGTGATGGTATGAGAGCAGGGATGGGTGAGTGGGGAGAAGTAGATACCTGGTGTTCAAAACGGAGATCATCTCCTTGAGCAAAGGAATGGGTTGAATGAAATGTGTGCAAGACCAGTGTCTCCCTGGAGTTCAACTCAGCTGTCGGGGGGAAGAGACAGAAAGACTGAGCTTGGGCCTCTCTTGAGGCTGAGAGGGGAAGGGAACTGTTTCTAGGCAGAGCCTGCTCCTGTTTTCATGCTCTTTTTATTTCTCCCCTGGAGATAGGTGGACTTGCTATTGACTGGATCCATGACAAATTATACTGGACAGACTCTGGGACCTCTCGGATTGAAGTAGCAAACTTGGATGGCACTCACAGGAAAGTGCTGCTGTGGCAGAACCTGGAGAAGCCACGAGCGATTGCCCTCCATCCTATGGAGGGGTGAGTGGGAACTTGGGAGTGAGCCCTCTGTGCAAAAAAGTCAGGGTGAACAATGAAGACTGTTTTTGGTCACAAGGGCTGCCTCTGGGCTCAAACCTTTGTTTGGTGTCACCAGTTTGGGGACCTGGATGGCGCTGGGGGGCTTTGGATCCTGAATCCTCTTTTGGGCTTTTCAAGTTTCACCAGCCTGAAATTGAAGGCAGTTGCCTTGTTGGCTGTCATGTCTCCCATGGCTGTAACTCAGTCTCAAGGTCAAAGGACAGGGGTAATATTATTTTGCCCTGGACAGGAAGCGTTGCTTGGTGCAGTATGTAGGGCATCAGTTTCCTAGCCTTTTTCTCCCTGCCTCCTCCAGCACTATCTACTGGACTGACTGGGGCAACACTCCTCGCATTGAGTATTCCAACATGGATGGCTCCAATCGGCGCATCATTGCAGATACGCACCTCTTCTGGCCCAACGGACTGACTATTGACTATGCAGGGCATCGAATGTACTGGGTGGATGCCAAACATCATGTCATTGAGAGGGCTGACCTTGATGGGCAGAATAGGAAGGCTGTTATTAGCCAAGGTAAGAACAGGCTAGGCACTGGACCAGTTCAGTGCAATAGAAAAGGCAGTAGCGCAATAAAACAGGCAGTAGCTTGGAGTATGTTTCAGAGCCACCTGTCTGGAGGTGGCTGCCGCTTCTATGCGAGTCTCCTGTTCTTCCACTGTGGGATGAATTCTGCCTTTGCTGAGGGATGAGCTTTACTATCTTTCCAGATTTGGTGGACAGGAGAGGAGAAGTGTGCGTTGTGTTGGCGTAAGGTGGATTTGACTGGGTTGGCTCTGCTGAGGCCGAAGAGGCAGTGGAAAGAGCTTTCCCTTGCCTCTTTGCAAGCCTGATTCCTGTAGTGCATGATTAAAATGTCCCTGTAATGGACTTCTATTACAGGGCTCCCGCACCCCTTCGCTATCACCGTGTTTGAAGACAGTCTGTACTGGACGGACTGGCACACCAAGAGCATCAACAGCGCCAACAAATTCACGGGGAAGAACCAGGAGATCATCCGCAACAAACTCCACTTCCCTATGGACATCCATACACTGCATCCTCAGCGCCAGCCAGCAGGTAACTGCAGAGAGGGTAGAGACCCAGCTGAACCACTGGAAGACTCGCAGCTACCATCCAGCCTGCTGGCCAGGGAGATAGCAAGGCTGAATCCAGAGCACTGAGACATCCATCACTTCTGTCCTTTGCTCCCGCAGAACTTGCTTCATCCAGCCTCTCAATTGTAGGTCCTTCAGCACCAGTAATCTGGTGCTGGATGTTACTACAGCTCCCCCTGCTGACTTTGAGAGTGAATACTTTTCAATAAGGAATACCTGTGGCTTGTCTACACAAGCTATTTTGGAAAAAAAAAAATCGTAAGTAGGCACAAATAATGAGTGACACCTCCACTACTCCTTTTGAAGTACTGTAATCCACTCTGGAAGTCAGTTGAGTTAAATGCTTTATTTCAAAATCGACCCCTACAAATGGAGTTAGTGTTTTAATGTATACCTTCCTTTATTCTCAAATAATTTTTCCTGAGTAAACAAGTTAAGTTGTCTGATTCATGTGGGGCTCAGGCGCTGTAATGGGCAAAGAGGAAGTTCATGCCAGGTACCTGTAACAGAGCTTTCCTTCTGCCTTCGCTGGCACACTTCCTCATTTTCTTTACTCTTTGCCTTACGCGTGGTTGTTTTTTGTCTTTGGCTACTTGAGCAGGGAGAAACCGTTGTGGGGCCAACAATGGGGGCTGTACTCACCTCTGCCTGCCAAGCAGCAAGGATTACACCTGCGCCTGCCCCACTGGCTTCCGCAAGACCAGCAACCATGCCTGTGCCCAGAGTAAGTGAGGTGGGACTACAGCCTGCATGCCCAGATGTTTGGCGGGTGGCAGAGGGTTGGCAGTGGGAGTAAGCAGCAGCTGTTGCTTTCAAGGGGATGCAACGGGGGAAACGGAGGTAGTACTGGGGACTCTGCTTGGAGGGCGCCTCACCTTTTTGATGCATTCCCCTTCTCCCTTGCTGGGCTTGGTGGGTAGGGATGCAGAAAAGCTCTGCTCTTCAGCCCTTAATCCAGGGCTGCTATTGGTGCTGTGCTGCCTGTCATAGGTGAGTGTTTACTTAAAGCTCCCGTAGGAGAAACAGCTTTACATAGGACGTAGCCCTCACATAGGAGCTGTGTCAATGATGAATTAAAAAATTCAGACGTACTGACTGCCAGAATTACTCTTGGTTTGTTTGCGGCAGAATGGGAAAATTGGGCCGATTGTCTCCTGGATTCTCAAAAGATGGCACAGCTCTTTGATTTGGAGAGAGATCTGTGCCATTCTTTTGAAGAGTATTGGCTTACTCCCTCCTCCCCCGCCTCCCAGGACATAGGCACCTCTAGGAGACAGCTCCCAACAGCTGTGTTCTCCCTTCCCCTCCTCTCCCATAAGGTGCCATTTTTTTGCTACAAATAAAATCCTGGGCTGTGACCTACCAGTGAGGGATGGTGTATGCAGTGAGGTTTGGATATAACAGGGAATTGTCTGTGTCTATCACTGTGTTGTTGAACTTAGAGAAATTAAAAGAAGGCCTTTCGACCTTTGATCAGGTCTTGACAAGTTCCTGCTTTTTGCCCGAAGGATGGACATCCGTCGGATCAGCTTTGACACAGATGACTTGTCAGATGATGTCATTCCCCTTGCTGATGTGCGCAGTGCTGTGGCTCTGGATTGGGACTCAAAAGATGATTATGTCTACTGGACTGATGTTAGCACCGACTCCATCAGCCGAGCTAAATGGGATGGATCAAGCCAAGAGGTACCGTGCTAAGTATGTGCAGGGATCGTCTAGCCAGGAGACTCTTTGAGCACCAAATTTGAAGCCACTGGGATAAACTGACTTTCTAAGGAGTCGCAGTTCATGTTGTGACTTGTTGTTCATTAGCTTGCCTAGCTCTGGCTCGGAAGAACTCTTGAGATCACTAAACACTTCGCACGTACGTTTGCTGTCCATTCATGCTTGAACGGGGATGTGAAGCATGCTGGTTTGCAAGCTGTGGGTGCTTCCTTTGTTATAGTCCTAATATCTGAAAGGAAGAGGTATTAAATCCTCTGCTATGTACCACGCTTGGAACAAGAGCCACATTCCTTGGAACTATTCTGTGCATGTTTCCTTTAGGCTAATATTGCCATCAGGGAGGGGAACAGCGTTTGAGGGTTTGGAGTTGCAGTTTAAACAGGCTTGGAAAATAGATGTTACTCTAAATGCAAGACTGAAATGAACCTCTAAGACCCTAATTCTCTCTCTCATATGGCCTTTTTCTGCATGGGCTTTTGCCTTTTGAAGGTTTTGTTGTTGGTGAACAGGTAGTGCCTTGGGCTCAGTGCTCTCTTTTTAAGGTCTGTTTTGTGACTTTTTCTTTTTGTTCTTGTTTAGGTTGTGGTGGACACTAGCCTGGAAAGTCCAGCTGGACTGGCAATTGACTGGGTCACCAACAAGCTGTACTGGACTGATGCAGGTACTGGAATCCTCCACTTTACCTAGGGTTCAGTCTTCCTCACTAATCATGAAAATACGGTAACAGCTGGGTAATTCCATTTCTGTCTCATCCAGATTTGTCTGTGTCTGGCTGGCAAAAGAATAAGTTTCATTTCATGTGTTTCTAACCAAGTGGGAGCTGATGTGGAATCTTTTGTTTAATTCTTTCTATGCAGTATGCCCAATACTAATCCTGCAGAAAGGTTTGTATTAAAAGTCTAAGACCACTGTCTTTTTGCTGCAGGTGTATGTATATATATGTTTCAACAGTGTATCTTGGGGTGCAGTAGATAGAATGTGGAGGATGTTCCCTGTCAGAGAGTAATAGTTTAGAGAGCTGTAAAGGAAGGTGATTCTTTTCTAGCTGTTCTCTCATGCCTACATAGATACCTTGGGGGCCAGGCAGAGTGCTGTTCCTCCTCCACACAGAGCTCAGCACCAGTGGTGACCAGGGAGCTGACATGAGAGACCTCATGGAAGGTGGTACTTTGATCCGTGTTTCTTACCTGGCTTCCAGATAGGATGAAGGATGGAAGGGGGAGAAGATGCATTGCTGTATGGATGCTTTTTCCTCATTTCTTGTGTTTCCAGAGGGCTGTGATTTCTCTCTTGTTCTCTCTCTCAATCTTTGTAGGAACAGATCGGATAGAGGTCTCCAACACAGATGGGACCATGAGGACTGTTCTGATCTGGGAGAACCTCGACAGACCCAGAGATATCGTGGTGGACCCTGTTGGAGGGTGAGAGATTCTTTTTTCTGGGATGACATGGCAATTCTTATGTGTCTAAGGATGTTCAGATTCTTTGTTTTGTACAATTGCCTTTCTCTCTCGCGCTTTTTTTCTACCTCCTGCCAAAGTCTGAAAGGAGAAACCTGCTTGTGGATGCTGATGGAACAAGATAAGCAGGGATAATTGCCTGTTAAGCTGTAGCTCTTGCAGGAGCTTGCCAGTTTTTCCATTTGCTTATCCTGGGGATTTAGTTACTGAAGATCTGGTGTAAATATGTTGAGAATGAGTCTATCTAGATCATTTATATCTTTATTTCACGTGTATGTTGAATTCTTATTCAAGCTCTCTGCTTTTCAACCACAGTTCGATCAGAGAAATTTCTCCTGGTAAATTAGTGCTGATGTCAAGTGAGTTCTAACGCTAGTGGCCTCTTAACTTCAGAATATTGTGTCAATGAGAGCACTGAGGGGTCAACTGTGCCATGGAAAGCAAACCTGAGAAGAGTAACAGAAAGTTACTTCTGTAAAGGCTTCAGTAAAGGCCTTTTGCTTTTGAATTGCAGGACTTGAAGAGCTGCAACTAGATCAGGGTGAATAGGCACAAGCTTGCCAGCCCTTGCTTTAGAAGCATCGAGGGTCTTGAATGGAAGTGTGCTATTCTTTCCTTGGCTGGATTACTGGAGGACTAGGGCTGCAAGAGTATAAATGGCCAGTGTGGGAGAGTGGGAAATAATTGCTTAATTATTATGTCTGGTAAATACTTGAACGTTTTTCTCCATGTTGTAATTAGGTCAGAACGTGGGCAGTAGGGGGGATATGAACTTTAGTATGTAGTTTTAGGAGTGCTACAAGAACCCAGGATTGGACATAAATACAGTGTTAGCCTGATGCTGCTTCCCGCTAGCTGCTGAAGGCACCAGGCTGTTTTGCTTCTCTGTAACACTACCTAACTGTAGGGGCAGTGAAGTGTAGTCATTCGCTTCTTTCTGGGCTTATGTTCAGATTCATGTACTGGACTGACTGGGGAGCCAGCCCGAAGATTGAGCGTGCTGGTATGGATGCCTCAAACCGCTTGGTGATCATCTCCTCCAACCTGACGTGGCCCAATGGTTTGGCCATTGACTACGAGTCACAGCGCTTGTACTGGGCCGACGCAGGCATGAAGACCATTGAGTATGCCAGTCTGGATGGGAGCAGCAGGAAGGTAAGGAAATCATCCTGGACAAGGGAGCCTGGGAACCAGAGGTGTGAGTCCTAGAGCAAAGAGTGCTTATGGCCCCTGCCTCTCTTTCCAGTTGGAAGTGAAATCCCCAAATCAAGGCATGCTCATCTGCTTTCACTGGGAGAGAAGAGAGCCCCTTCAGTTGCAAACTATGTATGAGGGAACCTCTGTTTGAGGGCTTATGCAGTCCCCATCCCTCTCCTTTTGCTGTGACTGTTCCTGTGATGTTAAGAGGGGGCAAGGGAAGCATATTGCCCTTAGTGACATCTTAGTAATGTTTTTTTGGGGGCTGGGGGTAATCTGACCAGGTGCTGATTGGGAGCAATCTGCCTCACCCCTTTGGACTTACTCTTTATGGCGAGAGAATCTACTGGACAGACTGGCAGGCCAAAAGCATCCAGAGTGCAGATAGAAGGACTGGGCAGGCTCGGGAAACGCTGCAAGACAATCTGGAGAACCTTATGGATATTCATGTTTTCCACCGGCACAGGCCACCAGGTACAGAGCTCGCCCCAAGCCATGCTGAGCTGAGAGCTTGCTTGGGCTCTGGTGTGTGGCACAACTCTCCTGCAAGGAGTTGGCCTGTCTGTCAGCCTTCAAAGCTTGAAGACTCTAGGTGGAATATGTGAGCTGGAGAATTACTCTCTCATTTGTTTTTAAGAGTGTTCTCCTAGAATACATTTCTGTAGCTGTTGTACTCATTATTTGTGCCTGTGCTACAGGCTTATGGATTTTCCTTCCTCTTTTCCTATAGTGCACACAGCATGTGAAGTTAACAATGGAGGCTGCAGTCACCTGTGCCTTCTGGCACCTCTTCCAAAAGGTTATAGCTGTACCTGCCCTACTGGGATCAACCTGCAGTCTGATGGCAAGACCTGCTCCCCTGGTGAGTCTCCTCTGTAGGATCCTCATTGCAGTTGGATCTCAGCTACTTACTGCTCCTGCTTTGTTAGAGAAAAGTTGCTATTGTGCATTTATCTGCTATGCCCTTTGAAAAGCCCATTAATGCTTGCACCTCTCATATGAGTGGGAACTACTATGAAGTAACCTGTGAGTATCTGCATTGATGCAGAGGAAATTTTCCTTGAAATTATGGTGGGCTTAACTAGATGTCACTTTTCCCCCCATACTTTTGCCAAAATATTGAGGTAGAGTCTCTTTTGATCTAGGAAGTGCTATACTCTCTTAACAGGTCTGTACACGCTCCTCCCATCAACCTTCTTTTTGGGGGGCTTTTGGTTTCAGGCCTTGATACGTCTGCTTATTCATCTTAGGAGGAAAACTGACTTCTACTAACTCCTGTCCCCCACACATGTTAACGAGAATAACTTTTCCATGAGAGCACTCCTTTCCAACTTTGAAATAAGGATGTGTTCCATGTCACTCAGTAAAGTTCTTAGTGGAGATCTGTCTGAGACGTCCCCTTTTCCACTGAAGTGGAGGTCAGCTCGAGAATGTTCAGTAAATGATGCCTGTAGTTGACTGGACTTGTCCTTTGCTGATATCTGTCTATCTTCAACTCTCTGCAGGAATGACCAGCTTTCTGATCTTTGCTAGAAGGACTGACATCCGGATGGTCTCTCTGGATATTCCCTACTTTGCAGATGTTGTTGTCTCAGTCAATGTCACTATGAAGAACACCATTGCAATTGGGGTGGATCCTCAGGAAGGTCTGAACTTCCTGATGTATCTAGCTGCCTGTTGTGAAGGCAAAGAGTGACTTTAATACCTAGATGTCTGAGTAAAGACCTAGGCCCAGATTTTACTGTAGGTTGTGAACTTGGGTAGTTTTTTTTTTTTTTTTTCCTAGTAGATGCTGCATATATTCCTTTCCCATCAGTCCTGTCTTTATGCAAAAGCAGACAATGCCAGCTATGTGGGAGAAGCTGCCCGCTATATTGCGTCAGGTTCCTGTGTAGCTTGGATTTAAGGAAGCTTGCCTCTTGCTGAAGTCTGTTACAACAATAAAGCTGAGTCAAATGGCTGTCAAATGGCTCATATGAAATATGTGATGCTGTGCTGGATGTAAACCCACTGGGTGTAGTACAGTAGATGATCAGATTACTGTTCTCTGAAACACGTGTCAAAATTAGATGTGGGATTCTATACTACTAGCTGGTAATGTGTTACGTGGTTTTGGCCTTGTTAGAATAGCAGAGAGCTACCCAGAACCAACACTCTGAGAACTTTTGGGAAGGATTGGAACAAGAGATTTTTGTACTGTTTTATCACTCTAGTTGAATAGTCTTGTGGTGCTGTTATTCCTATACTGCGAGATCTCTGTACTGAACAGCTTAGTTGGTAGTCAGAGTAATCTTGATGCTTGTCCCCTAAAAACCTGGGTCTGATTTTAAGGATTTTGCTGATTCTTTAGCTTCTCTTCCTTTTTCCATCCAGGAAAGGTTTACTGGTCAGACAGCACACTGCGGAAGATCAGCCGGGCTGCCCTTGATGGCTCCCAGTATGAGGACATCATCACCACAGGTAAGAGGTATTTTGGCCTGGGAGCCTCCTGCCTCCATGCAGCTGCGAAAAGAGATCCTCTGAGTTTCCTGGTGGAAGATTCCTTAAATTTGGTGGCAGGGCGGGGAGAGTCATAAGGCTTACTGCCTGAGGGGTGCATAAAGGAAATATCAGGGATTCTTGACCAAGTTGGAAGGGTGAGAAGTGACCGTTTTATTTTTCTGCTTGCTTAGGTCTCTTGACTACAGATGGGCTGGCCGTGGATGCTATTGGCAGGAAGATATATTGGACAGATACAGGAACAAATAGGATTGAAGTGGGCAACCTGGATGGCTCCATGAGGAAAGTCTTGGTCTGGCAGAACCTGGACAGCCCACGGGCAATAGCATTATACCACGAGATGGGGTTAGTGTTGTCAGGAGGTTATTTAGGGATTGGAGGAGGACTTCTGATCTCTGCTGTTTCCTTAATGCTTGCTGGTTTTTCCCCAGGTACATGTACTGGACAGATTGGGGTGAGAATGCCAAGCTGGAGCGCTCTGGGATGGATGGCTCAGGACGTGTAGTGCTGATCAGCAACAACCTGGGCTGGCCTAATGGACTAGCAGTGGACAAGGCTGGGTCCCAGCTGCTCTGGGCTGATGCACACACTGAGGTCTGATTCTGTTCTTAGCATTGCTCATTGCTGGGGCTCTGATAGCCTGGAGGGCTGTTTAGCAGCTTTTGAGCAGGCTGTCAAAAGAATGAGGGGAACATAAGCTTTTTTGAGCGCTTGAGCTGTGTGAAGGGAGGCTTGAGTAACATCGTTTGCTTAGGCTCTGGTTTTTGCTTGATGCAGGCATTGCTGTTAACAGCATTGCATGTGGGGCTGATGTACTTGCTTTTTTCTCCAGCGTATTGAGGCTGCAGATCTCAATGGTGCAAACCGCCGCACCCTGCTGTCCCCAGTGCAACATCCCTATGGCCTCACTCTGCTGGACTCTTACATCTACTGGACTGACTGGCAAACTCGCAGCATTCACAGGGCTGACAAGGATACGGGAGCCAACGTCATTTTGGTGAGGGCAAACCTGCCCGGCCTCATGGACGTTCAGGCTGTTGATAGGGCACGGCCCCTGGGTGAGTTGCTGGGCTGCTCCGGAAGCAGTGGTGTGTGACTGTGGTAACTAGGGGAGCTCTGAAGAGCTGTCATTGTAAAGGGTGCTTTGGGAAAGCATGAGTGATAGAAGTAGAGCACTGCTTCAAACTCGGCTTTTCTTTTCTTCCTCCCTCTTGTGTAACTATTTTTGTACTTCTCCCTGTTTACGCAGTTCTGTAGCTCTGGAATTTATTTTTTATTACTGTGTGCCTTTTAACACCCCCCTGCTCCCCGCCCCAAGCACTTCCTATGCTGGATAGTGCTGACAGCCTGTACTGACAGTGCTGTGCCTACAGTGGCACAGTAGAGCCTCTATCTTAGGAGGACTGAATGAGTCATGCCCTGTTAGGCTTCTTTGGAGTCTGCTGCTTCTAGACCTGTTTATGGCATGGGATGCTTTCCCCTTTTTTAACTCCAAAAGGCGCTCATTCCTTTCATGCTAATCACAGAAACCTTATTTCAAGTCCTAGTCACTTTTTGCCCAACTATTTCAGGCTTCATCTTCCTGTTCACTTCTTTAGCGGCTCTTAATATATCACCCTCTCCAACTATTCTGTGCCAGAGTTAGACTCCTTATGCTACTCTTTGGGGAACCTACACAACCTCATCTTGTCTCCCTGTTCGTCAGTGTGAATTGTTGCTGTGTGCTGTGTTTCCTTTCAGTGGAAACTTTCCTTTCCTTTCCTTTCTTTTCCCCAATATCATCTTCCACAGAAAACTCCATGCTGTGTCCTCTGTGGCTCCTCATCACCTTTGAAAATGTAACTTTAAGCCAACCTGTACTTCAGCTGTCACATCTCCGTGGCCTTTCCCCCTTCCTCCCTGCCCCTGTCTTCTAGGCTCATCCCCTTTTAAGAAATGTATACTGGCTTTTCAATTTAAAAAAAAAAAAAAAAAAAAAAAAGAAAAAGTCAGAAGTTAAGATATGACCCTAATATGTCAAGCACTTACAGCAGGCTTCTCTGGTGCCTTTGTTTATTTACCACTGTGTGCAGCTAACTTAAAACAGAAGCTCCTTTGTCAGCCTGGCCTCTGGTGTGTTGTCGTGCTGCTTCCCCACAGGGTGGGATCTTACTGTCAGCATTCCCATTTGCAGCAATAACAGAGCTAAACTGCAGTCCTGTGACTCTCTCAGCATTTGGCTGTTCCTTTTTCCATGGGAAGACTGTGATTAGCAAGGAATACAGGTCAGGATTTTGCTCCTAATGCTCCCACTTCCACTGTGCCTTCCTGTCTTCCTTGCCCAATTGTGCCCATGCCAACAATGCATCTTGGAGGGGGAGGGAGGCAGGCTCTGAATGAAGGGCTGTAGATTTTCAGCAAAGCTGCAGTTAGGGTAAATTCAGCTGCTAGCAAGTTGTGCATGTGTGTAGCCTTTTAAAGTAAAGCTTTGGTCTCAAGGACCACAGAGATCCTCAAACTACCCTTTCACTACTTCTGAAGGCTTTAATAAATGTGGAGTTCGTAATGGCGGCTGCTCCCACCTTTGCTTGCCTCCTCCCACTGGCTTCTCCTGTGCCTGCCCCACTGGCATCCAGCTGAAGAGAGATGAGCAGACATGTGACTCTTCTCCAGAGACCTACCTACTCTTCTCTAGTCGTGCCTCCATCCGTCGTATCTCGCTGGACACCAGCGACCACACGGATGTACACATACCTGTCCCTGAGCTGAACAACGTAATTTCTCTGGACTACGATAGCGTGGATGGCAAGATTTACTACACAGATGTTTTCCTTGATGTCATCAGGTAGGTGCCAGTCATCTGCTTGGCCAGCACCCAGGTTACCCAGCCGCTCGTGCTAGGTGTGCCACAGTGAGCTGTGGAGTGTGCCAATAAGTTGGGGAGACCATGAAATGCTGGCAGCGCGCTACTGCTCAAGCCCTGTGTGCAGCACACAGTATCATGTGTGTTACTGAACGAAGTGCTGAAGGTGTGTTTAACCTGCTGGAGACTGAGGAAGGAGGCATTAGGGAGGTAGCAGTATGAACCGGCCCTGTGGCTGATGGGCATCCTGTATGGAGGTGTAAAGGCTTTCCAGGAGCAACCTATTCCTCACTGCCGTTTGTCACTTGATTTCCGTCCAGGCGGTCTGACCTGAATGGCAGCAACATGGAGACTGTTATTGGTCAGGGGCTGAAGACGACAGATGGCCTGGCAGTGGACTGGGTCGCCAGGAACCTCTACTGGACAGATACAGGACGCAATACCATAGAAGTAGCTAGACTGGATGGAAGCTCTAGGAAGGTGCTGATCAATAACAGCCTGGATGAGCCCCGAGCCATTGCTGTCTTTCCCAAGAAGGGGTAAGTGTGGGATATTGGCAGGGGCAGGGAGAGGGGCTGTGCAGAGGCAGTCCTGAGGAGGGGCATCTGGGAGGAAGAAGGGAGGTGCAGTGTGAATCTGCAGGTACCAGCAAGGGGTAATGCTGAGTGAGGGAGGTGATTGGACAGACGGTGGATTTGAAGGCTGGGGCACACGTTTGGGAGAAGTAAGCTGCAGACCATATGATATTTTTTTTGGAAGTTAAAGCATATGGCAGTTTAATTCCTAATTAAAACTTACAATGGACTGAATGAAATGTCCTTTTCCTCTTGCACTTGCCTTTTCTCTCTTCAGGTACCTCTTCTGGACAGATTGGGGTCACATTGCTAAAATTGAACGGGCAAACTTGGATGGCTCTGAACGTAAAATCCTGATCAACACTGACCTAGGATGGCCCAATGGATTGACCTTGGATTATGACACCAGGAGGTCAGTGAGAGAATCCAGTATGGGATTAAGAGATGCAATGATTTTTTTTTTTTTTTTAAGCTGCCTGAGTTTGATTTCTTGACGTGTTTTGTTTGGTCTGATCTATCTTGGCTAGCGAATGACTAGAAAGTGAAGAGGGAATGTATAGGTGGAAGCTCACCTCTCTCTTTACCTCTTCCTCCAGGATTTACTGGGTGGATGCACATCTTGATCGCATAGAGAGTTGTGATCTCAATGGGAAGCTACGCCAAGTGTTGGTCAGCCAGGTGTCGCATCCCTTTGCTCTGACACAGGTAAGAGGATTTTTCCCCTGCCACTGTTCTCCCAGTTGTGCTGAATTTGGGCAGTGGAGCTTGGGGACAGGGGAATATTGTAGTCTGGGTGAAACAGAGTTGACTGAGGGGCTGGTATGTTACTCTCCAGTGGTGCTAACAGAAGAGGTTTGGCTGAACTGCTCTGAGGTGTAGACAGTTGTCATCTTTATGATGAGAAGATAAAGGACTGGAAGGGCCTTTGTTTGGAGCCTTCTGTCACTGGGACATGTTTTTGGTGGGGGTCCTGTGTCTGTATGGCTAAACATGCTAATAGTTGTGATTTGTCCTCCTCGCTAATTCCCTGAGCAGCAGGATAGGTGGATATACTGGACTGACTGGCAAACCAAATCTATCCAGCGAGTGGACAAGTACTCTGGGCGGAATAAGGAAACGGTCCTGGCCAATGTTGAAGGATTGATGGATATCATTGTGGTTTCCCCTCAGAGACAGACAGGTAACCAGGAGAATCTTGATTCTAGCAATCGCTACTTGTAGGCCAAGAACTCTAGAACCACTGTGCTACTGTAGACGTTAAGTGAGGTTGGCATCCCTCAAATTGTTAGTGCATCTCCTCTCAGTTTTTCTGGACGCTTTCTTTGCCTCCCTCTGATGTTTCAGCCAAGTACATATTGACTGGGTTGTGTTATAGCTTTGATCAGCAAGTGTCATTTTCTGAGTTCACCTGACATTGCGTTAAGACAGAAAAACGTGAGCTTATTTCTATCGCTGCAGCTGTGTTGACTAGGCTGCTCTCTACTGACTCCTTTCAAAACTGCCTTAATCCTACCGGTGTCTGGCTCCTGTCATCACTGTCTTAGCAGTCAGATGTTGGGACGTACTGTAAGGCATAGTAACTTGCTCTACTTCTAGGAAGTATCTCTGGCTGAGCAGGAAAAAAGGTTCTTGTTCTGAGCTCCTACTTAGTAATCTGCTCCAGATGTAAAACTTGCTTTTTCCTTCCAGGTACTAATGCTTGTGGAGTGAACAATGGAGGCTGCACTCATCTCTGCTTTGCCAGAGCTTCTGACTTTGTCTGCGCATGTCCTGATGAACCAGATGGGCGGCCCTGTTCCACTGGTGAGTTCAAAGAGAGTCTCACTTGGGTAGTGGCTTCTGTATGTGAGTCACAGCCATTGTTTATGTGTTGATGATACATGTGCCTATGGGAACCAGAGCATCTGAAGCTCTCCAGTGTGCAAAAACTTCGGCAGAGTCTTATACTGGAAGTAAAGCAGTTGTGAGCAACAGGATCTTCCCCTGTGCTTTCTACAGAGATGCTGGGTTTGGGATGAGAAAGCTGCTGATGTAGGTTCCTAAGCTTCCCCTTTTCAGAAGCTCTCTGTAGCTTACCAGACTTGTTCATCTGTCCCACAAATTTGTGGTTCTTATTTTCCTCTGCGTTGTTTTAGTTCCTGGTGTGGTGCCCCCTGGTCCGGAAACTACCAGTGTAAGTGAGAGAAGTCAGACACTGCCTGGCAGAGTAACTACCTCAACGACCAAACCTCTTACATCTCTGGAAGCAGTGGAAGGAAAGTAAGTGCTCTTTTTCTCTTGGAACTGGGATGCGATAGCCACAGATTGCACAAGATGCAACGTGCAAATCCTCTCTGCCTGTCGTCGTCCAAACATACTTCTCCCTGGCCAAAGGAGACAATTCCAGCCCCAGACTTTGCGTAAATAATGGAGAAGACCATTCTGACAGAGAGAGAGTGCAGAACTCTGAGTTGGCAAGAGGTGCAGAGGTCTTTTCTCTGCGTTCCATTAAAATGTGTCTCTAGGCTCACTGTGCTGTGAGAAGTGTTAAAATCCTCTTGAATTTCTGCTGTTCATTTGACTGATTTCTGAACTCCTGATTTAAAGAACTTATTTCTGGGAGGAAGAGACAGGGGTCTGTTGAAAATTTTAATTCTCTCAAATATTTCACACATGACCCAAACATCTGAGGAAATGGTTCTGCCCTGGCCACAAGGGGATTGCTTTTTTGGGACAGGACTGGGCCTTTGCAGCTCTAATGTTTAAGCTACAGTGCAGGTAGTTGATATATATATATATATATATATATTTTTTTTTTTTAACTACTAATTCCCTACAGCCTGTTGTTCCTATTGTCTCGCAAAAAATATATTCTATAGTACGTGGCAGAGTTATTTTCAAGGCAAAACTTCCCCTCCTCCATTGGGAAGGATGTATAGGACAAAAATATCTTTCTGTGTTGACTTTAGAAAGTTCTGATTTTTGCTTCAAAAAACTGAGAACTGATGCTGAAATTTGTGTTCTGTTCTGTTGAAACATACACATAAATAAGGTCCTCTCTTCTGGACACAGATGAATAGTGGAGCAGAGAAAGGAGGGTTCCCCTCATAGAGCTGGAAATGGAAGGAAAATCAGTGCTAGCCTGTCCAGTCCTGTGTTCTGATACCCAGGGAGAACCTGACTAATTTCAGTATCAGGGTACTAAATGTGTCCTTCTGTCATTCAGCTGCTCTGATAAAGATGCCAGGCGAGGCTTGTGTACCCGTGACAATGAGGCAGTGCTTGCAACCGTGGGTGAGTTTCTTTCCTTTACTCTCCTCTACTAGTGTTGTTCTTCCAGATGTGCCCAGGGCATTTCATTCCATAGTGTTTGAAACTCAAACTTGAATTCCTCAAATACATTTTGCTCTGCTCAGAAGGCATCTTGAGGATGAACATCAGCTGTGCTCATTCATTAGCCTACATGGGGACTTTTCCAAATGACTGTTTTGTCTGAAGAATATGCCCTGTTTTCCTTTCTCACTCACTTCATCTATTGGAGTCTTTCCATTAATGCTCCTCTTTCTCCACCATCCCTTTTGTGTTAAATTGAAGATGGCTGACAAGGGTGACTGTTTCCTGCTGCAGGAGTAATCTGTCAACAAGGAGGTCTTAACTCATCCTTATCTGACCCCATTATCAAGGTCTTCTCACTGTTTCCGGTTTGAGGGTCCTACCCCTCCTGGGGGTGTTCATATGATGCCAAACAAAACCCGCTGCTAAACCTTGGTATATTGACCTTTTACTTTGCATACTTCCATCAGAGGTGTTATACTAAGGTCAGGGTTATCCTGTGAAATTTAAGGAGAGTGCGTAACTTACCCTTGCTGTTCACTTTCAGGAGAAGGATTGCACGTTAGCTACATTATTGGAGGCCTTCTCAGCATCTTGTTTATTTTGCTGCTTATTGCCGCTTTAATTATATATAGGTAAGTGATCTTCCCCCTCTCCTGGACCATGGTAAAATGTAGCCTTGCAGGAAAAGAAAGCTCCTGAAGATTAGTCTTTCCTTATTGCGATTTACAATCCCTTTTTTTTCCCTGTTAGAAGCAGTGTTTGATTTTATTTGCAAGGTTTGAGTCTTGTTTCTTTGAATTGTTGGACTTGGAGCTTTTTTATTTCGGTCTTTATGGGCTAAATTTTCTGCAGAGAGCTTGGGAATTCCAGACAGGGATGTGAGGTATTTGTATCTCAGTATGTGTGAGGCCATGTGCTTTCTGCAAGGTAGTCTCTCCAGTTATTGCCAGTATAGCTTTTGTGGTTGCATAGCAGTGCCATGCTGCACTGGTAGCTAATGAGTGTACCGGCAGCTGAAGAGCTTGATGAAACCAATATCCTCTGGCTTTGAGGAACAGTGAAGACAGCTTGAGCTTTCCACTCGCTGAGCGCTCAGGAACTTTGGATCCTGGCAGTAGGACCCTGTGTCTTTTCTGACTGCTCCCTTCCTTTAGGCATAATAAGACCAAGTTCACGGACCCTGGCTTGGGGAACCTAACCTACAGTAATCCGTCATATCGGACATCTACCCAGGAGGTGAAGATTGAAACGATTCCCAAACCAGCCATGTACAACCAATTGTGCTATAAGAAAGAGGTAAGAGCTGCTACTAAGGACATGGGGACCTAGCTCAAGCTGCTGCTGATTGTTGCAGGCCTTGGTATGTGAAAATGCTGCAACTCGCCAGCATTTACTTTTAGGATATAGGAGGGATAGCTCCAGTAAACTGCCCAGTCATGTTCCTGCAGATCAACCAGCAACACTTCTCCCCCCATGAGTTGTAGTGACATATATGTGCATGTAGTTTTCTGCTTCCTCCTCATTGCCACAGTGTCCTGTATTATTTCTCTTGCACTGGGCACTGGCCATCACAGTATAGGAGTCAAAGGGAATTGTGCTGCCTGGAGACAGTCCTGTTCAGTTACTGTTGCTCCAAGGTTACTTTGGACAGTCACCAGGGAAATCAGGCAGTCAGAAAGGGTTTGAGGATAAGAACATGGCTTCTGGCTGTGCACTGCATGGAAGTGGTGGCACTGCATGGAAGTGGTGGGATAGGGAGAGAAATGGAGCCCTTAATAAATGGGGCACTTTAAAGGCGTTGCCAAGGTCCATCCTGTGTGTGACAGGGTGGAGAGGATTTAATATGATATCTTGCAGCACTTAGTGTCTCCTCTGTTTTCTCCTCAGAAGCTTTCTTATCACTCAGATAGCTTCTCATCTTCCCTCTTCTGATTTCCGTCCACATCCTCACGTCAGGTATCACTACTCTGTGTAATGTGTTTGATCCTGCCTCCCTTACTCAAGCTCTGTTGTGTGGCTCTAGCACTGTCCCATACTAACTGTTCTTTCTGGCTTTTTTTCCCTGCTTGTTGTCCTTGAACCAGCTCTACCAGCTCTTGTTTGCAAGAAAATGGAGGTCATTTTCTAGGGCAGATCCCTTGGTCTTGGTTTGGCTACTTAGTATAGGACATTTGAAAAAGATAATTTCTGTACATGTTCTGTTAGATCACTTAGTGACCCTCTAGCAGGATCCTGGCAGGACTTTTGTAGAGGAGAGTTTCTCCTGGCCTTGTTTTTCAAATGTGCCATCCAATCGATTTCCCAAACTTTTCTGCCATTTTAGCCTTGTATACTAAGGATAAGCCGGGATGACTTCTCTGGGAATCTAAATCCTTTCCACTTTTCTCTTAATCCTGCTGCTCCTAGATGTACCCAGATGTATTGCCCCTCACTCCACCCTCTCCTTCAGGGTTTACATCAGATAGTCTAAGGCTGCTTATTTGTCACTGAGCCAAGCTATACAGATTTCACTACTTTAATCTCAGTGTGGTCCCATTAGGCTGTGATCATTTCCGTTGTCTCCCTATAATCTGCTTTGCTTGTATCACTGTGAGGCTCAGAGTAGACAGTGATATTCCAGGTGGGCTTCCTTGAGAGTTGCACCTAGAGTGACTTAGATACAAGAATATTGCATGTTTATAATCGGCTCCCTACCTTGCCCATTTTTACCCTGAAGTCTTCTGGCTGTTCCTGCTTCCCAAGTTGGTTGGTTGGTTTGTGGGGGGGTGTTTTTTTTTTTTTTTTTCCTCTCTTCTCTCCTTTCTTTTTAGGCTCAGTGTTGCTCTTGCTCCCTGCTGTCATGGATTATATTTAGTTGAATTAGAAGAGCTGCCTCATCCTAATTCCCTGTCCATGATTTGAAGGCTCCTGGAGTTTGGAGTGAGAGTTCTTGCAGGGAGGATTCAGGCAGGGGGTGAAGAACTGAAGGGAAATTTAGAACAGGTTCTGCCATTGTGACAGTCGGAGCCAGTGGCTCTTTAGATTGAGGTCCAGCCTTTTGTCTGCTTCACTGTCTTCATTCTAGCTCTGCTTTGCTCTTTGCCCTATTTCTCCATATATGTATTGTGTTTTCATTCACCTGTCTGCTCCCTAGGCTGGTCCTGATCACAGCTACACCAAGGAGAAGATCAAGATTGTGGAGGGGATTTGCCTTTTGTCCAGTGATGACTCGGAATGGGATGACCTTAAACAGATTCGGAGCTCCCGAGGAGGGATCCTCCGGGACCACGTCTGCATGAAGACAGACACGGTCTCTATTCAAGCTAGTTCTGGTTCACTGGATGACACTGAAACTGAGCAGCTGCTACAGGAAGAACAGTCTGAGTGCACACACCCCCCCCCCAGCCACTCCCGAACGGCGTGGCTCGCTCCCAGACACAGGCTGGAAGCACCAACGCAAGCCCTCCACAGAGAGTGAGGTCTAAAGTGCGCGCTACTTTGGAGATGCTTGTACCCTCCCTAGCCTCCACTCTGCACGAAAAAGACGGGACTCTGCCTGCCAAGCAAGGAAGGGTGCAGAGATTAGCCTCTCTTGAAAGGAGCCCAGAGACTGTGACTGCCTTTGAGCAAGGAGCCTGGGCAACTGTTCTGTTGTGGTTGGAGAGGGAGGATGGGTGGGTTGGAACCCAGAGACCTTTTTGGCTTGTTTTCACTGTCTGTGGTTTATTTATATGGTCCCTTTTCCTGGAAGCTGCCACATTAACTTTTGCAGTGACTCCTCTGGCCTGAGTCTGGTTCAGATTCTGTCTTTGGCAACCTGCAAATCCCATGCAGTTCAGCTCACAGTCGATGCCCCTGAAGAGAGCAGACAGAGCTACTTCATTGCTAGCTCTTGGTCACAGACGTTCCCCTAGTCATTCCAGCACTAGCAGCGCTCTGAGGCTTTGTGTTGTGGGGTCTCTGACTTAAGAAATATCACAGAATAGATGGGATATGCTTTGGGGCTTAAGGGGACAGTGACACAGTATCAAGTCACCTTTTAAGGGCCTACAGAGAGTAACCACACTTGCCATGATTTGCTTCATGAGAGCATCACTGCTTACTTTCCCACCTGCTAGTAAAAACCTTAATGAATTCTGGGATTGGAGCACTGTGTCTGTTGCTGGCAGTGGACATTGCTCCTTTTCACTCCCTTCTGTTAAAACATGTTTCTGCTCTGGAAAAACAAGTCAGCAAATGGCCCTTTCAGAACTGTTCTCTGTAGGTACTGTGGTCAGAGTACTGTATTCAAGCTAAAAAAATAAATTAGTATTGTTCGTAGCTCTACTGAGCTAATGGGAGGAAATGTATCTCAGCAAGCACTAGATTTTACTCTTTCCTAACTGATATGTATAAAACAAAAGATAGAAAATTTGCTTAATCCCCACAAGTCCCAGTTCTACAAGGTTCCAGTTGTTTTGGCCTTCAGGACCTTCGATTACAGTGATGAGGGGAAATAAGAGAATTCCTAGGTTGACTCTCCCCCAGGGGAATCTTCAGTGCTGACAGTTAGGAACTGCTTTATTAATAGACTAAGCCCATTTGACCTAGAATAGGAGACTAATCGTGGAGCTGTAAGGGCCATTTTTAAATAGTTGCTTAGCAGATAGAATTGCACTTTAAGTTCTATTATTACTAGTAAATAGCTGTCCTTGCAGAGTCATTCTCCCATCAGCTCTAGGAACCTCAGATATTCTCTGGCCTCCAAGGCCTTTACCCTGTAGGGAATGAATAATCCCACCCTTGCAGTTACAGACACCTCGGCAGCATCTGGAGCTTGCATACTCCTGAGGACTGTGCCACTGTTTCATGTTCTCTTGGTGTCTCATATCTGGTCGGAGAACAAAGAGGTAGAGAAAATCTCTCTTGACTCCTCTTCGATAGTGCGATTTATATCATCTCGCCAAGTCATGTGAATACTCTTAGGGTAAGATAGGAAGTCTTATGCCATATATTGAGAAGCATAACTTTCCGGTGAAGAATCTCTTGCAGCAAACTGTTAACCTCTCTATCTTCTGGGAAGAGGCCAAGTGCATTCCCACCCATGGCGTGAAAAGAGCAAAGCGTACAGTAGGGATATGGCATAGAATTGTGGGGAGGATGCATTTCAAGCGCAATACTTTTCCAGCTAGTTTAAAAAAATGAAAATCCATCCTATTCTGTTGTAACCTTGTTCAGATACTAACAGTCCTACTACCCTTGGAAAAACATGACAGTTGCCAGTGGGTTCGCAATGCTCTTTACACCAGAGGTGGCTCTGCAGCAAGAGGTTGCCGCTTTGACATGGCTAGGTGGCATGAAACTGTCCATAACTTGCACCATTGGGCTGACTGGTGTATATTCCTGTGGAAAATGAACTGGAGCTAAGGCTTAGAAATTTCCCTATGTTAATGTGGGACTCTTCCCTACTCTCAGAGGGATTTTTTTATTAGATTTTTTTATTTAATTATTTATTTGATTGACTCCAGCCTGGGAAGCACTGTTTTTGTTGGGCAGGGGCACATTTGGATTGAGGCGTGGACTCAGTGGGGAACTGAGAAAGGAGTGCAGGTAACTGAGGTGGACCTTGCCTGTCTAGGCTGCCTGATGCAGGGACAACGTCGAAGGGCTCGAGCATAGGCAGAAGAACCAATACGAGAGGAAGCCAGGTGTGTAGGGCAGGGGCATGAGAGCTGGGTATAGGTGGATGGGGAAGAAGGTTCTGACTTCTAGGAGAGCAGGCTGTTTTTGTGTCTTCCCTCCTCCCCCCCAACAGCTATGTGAGTGTGCACCAAATTCCTGAGGCAGGACAGGGGTGAAGGGAGATACCACCCAGACCTGTCACTTGAGGTTCAGTCAGTCTGTAGAAATAATTGCTCTCCGAGTCACAAGTGCAGAATGGAAAGGAAAACCCAGTCAGTCTTTTCAACAATTAATGGTGCTTGTGATCTCCACCTTGATGTAATCTCTGCTGCTTCTTAGAAGGGACCCTGCACACTCCAGCCGAACACGATTCGTAACTGCTCTCTGCTTCCTTTCTGAAATAATTTAAGGTGAAAAGGAGCAAAGAAACATCCCACAGCCTCACGTCCGCAAGTGAGGTGGGCAGAAATCAGTTTCATTTTTCTAAAGTATGCAGACAGCCCCAGTGAGATGCTGCCTAGAGGGTAACGTCATGTTTCCCCATTCTGGGGAAGAGAAGGCCCTCACTGCGCTTAGGCTGTTAAGAATGTAGAAAGGCCACTGGAGGATGATCTCCTGAGCACTGATTTACTATGTAAAAAAAGCAAACCTCTCTCCTGTCTGTCCTGAGCTAACATCAGTGATTTCCCTGCGTTCCTGTGTAATGGTTTTAACGTTACTCACTGGAGACATTGGACTTTCTGGAGTTATTTAACCACTATGTTCAGTATTTTAGGGGTTGATATGATAATTTAATATAAATTTAGCTTTTCTTAACCACTCTGCCTGGCTTTTGGTTGTGAATGTGCATGGTTTTTGGACTCTCCTTTGAAAGAGGAGCTCCTGGACCTGTTTGTACAGAACCTCAACTTTCCTTCGTTTCAGAGGAGCAAGAAGGTAGGAATGGACTGGGGTTCTTCTGATGATCAGCTTGCTAACACACTGCTTCTGGTGCTAAGGCTTAGGATCAGAGGCCAAACATCTACACCCACTCCCATTTGCAAATGCCCATGTGCACGTACACTCTTCCCCTCGCCCTTGCTTTTTTCTTTTTATTACCACTTTAACATGGCAACAGCAGAAGAGCGTGGCCATCATTTTTTGAAGAGGTTTAGGATCACGCTGGTCTCAAGCAACATCTACTGTAGGGATCGTTGCTTGTTTTGTGCCTTTGACTAGTGGAAAAGATGGCTCTGAAGAACTGTTTTTCTATCCATAAGGGTTTTTGTTCAAGATTCTGCTGCTTTTTTTTTTCTTTTTGATGACGAGCAGGAGTTTAAGTGGTGCAAGGATGAAAAATGAACAAAATGGTCAGTAACAACTGACACTACAATACTGCTACTAATCTTACGGCCCATTGCATCCTGTTCTGATGACGAAGTACCAAAAAGTATTTTAAATACCTTAGCTTTGTTCCTGCCCATTCTTACGTTGAAGCACAGTTCGGAAATGATTTCACCAAGGCCAAGCAAGAATGTAATCAGCTTTTCTTGGCACCTCACTCCTCGTTCTAATCTAGGTCCTGTAAGCATGGTGCAATGGTAATATTCAGTGCACTCCCTTCTTACGGTTGGGTTGATGGTACCAGCCATTGCTTTCTCTTCTAATTGATTATTTACTTCAGCGTCCTTTCCCAAAGGATCTTTTTCTTAGCCAGCTTTACTGAAGAAAGAGAACAAAGCAGAAAAAAACTAGGCACTTGCACTTTTTATGTTAAGACGAGTTACTGCTTGTCACAGAACAGGCACAGGGAAGGATTTTGCCCTTCCAGTATAACAGGGCATTTCCAGAAGCCGCAGCTGCAGGCAGGAACAAGTTCCAGGTCCTCGCTCGTTTTCTGCCTTGCTCCCGCGCCGGGGAAAAGCCGGCGCTCCGCGCTGCCCGGCG